ACCAAACTGGTTGTAGACTTTGTTGTCGACTAGGATTATTTTCTGTTGTCATTGTTATTGTTGGAGCAATACTTGTATCAATAGGTATTTCATCAGGTGCAAGAAGTTTTAATGGTGTACGAGTTTGTTGAAATTTTGGAAAACTTTCTTTTATTTCAAGATATGATAATGATTGTATTGTTGGTGCTGAAGCCATACGATTAGCCTGTTCAATAGGTCCGAGACTTATATCACTAAAATTATTATGAAAATTTTTTTGTTTTTTAAGTTTATATAGTACATAAAAAATATACAACTAACCAAACATATGGACTAGTTGATGATAAATGTACAAGCATTTTGATTAATAGATGATATTAATTAATGGAAATAATTGATTAATAACATGAAATTATTCTAGAGAATAAGAAAAACAAATACAACAAAGAAATATGACTGAATTGTACAATGTTATAGAACGATCGGTCAGTGAAAAAATAATCGAATCATTGTCCTAATGATGTTAACAAGCGATCTTTGTATGTTCCCGGCGACATTATCTACCAATGAAATTATAGATAATCGTTTTTTTTTTCATTAAGTAAAATGATGTCGCTATTGTCGAGATTTTTTTGATCGATCTTTATTGTTTTAATTTGTATCAAACATTATTCTTACAACAATGGCATGCTTTTTTTATTTAGTTGATAGATATTCTTATTTTTTGAATCTCATCTTTGACCAATCGTGAATAAATATTAAGTTCTTTGTTATTCTGTTTAAATGATATGACATATAAAAAAACAACTGAAATTTTAAAGGATCTAATTATGGATTGATAATAATAATTAGTATCAAAACTAGATGATATTTGAGTCTCATTTTTAATTCAACTAATTCCCATTATCTATATTCTAATATGCATGAATACATTTTACATCGAATTCAGAAAATGATGTAATGATTTAGATTGGTGCAATATTTAACAGACCATAAGACAATCGCCAAACATAATAAAAAGCTTTGTTCAATCAATAATCATTTTAAAAAGATGTAACTATTAAAATGAATGAAAATTGGCACACTAATCTCACTTAAGAATTAAACAATTAGCGAAAATTCAGATAAATCAACAACTGAATTTATTGATCATTTCAGTTATTTTATTTTTATGATCAATATTCTTCTTCGAATGGTTTCTTTAAAAATGAGGAGTGTCCAATGACTGAGAAATCGGAATTTCTTCTCAGTTCCTTAAGTGTTAAAATACAAAAACTTCAATATCTAAGAGATTTTTTACTTTCACTTTCATGAATAGGAAAACTATGAGAGAACCAATGGTCAATCCTCCTTTCTTTGAGGTCTTATCGTAGCGACGCTGATAGTTTCTCTAATTCTAGGAATTGCTACGACTCATTTCTTAAACAGTGCCGGATACCGTAATTCAATTTTAAAAATCTTTCATAGTTAAGTGATCATCTCATCACCGGCCAGTTAACTTTTTAGTTCAATATAATTCGTGAACACACATTTTATTTATGATAAATGAATGAAGAACAAAGAAAAATGAAATCATATACATACAGTCTGTCAAAGTCTAATGTTTAATCAGTATTGAAAGATTTCAGTTAGTTTAACATGTATTGGAGGTGTGAGGCATAGGTACAGAATCTACCAGTGTGCGAAAATTTTTTGACTCTGGGAAAATTCTTGAAAATGTCGAGATCGGAAAACTTTTCGAAGAATGTTTTTCTCTACGGAGAAATCATAATTGAATTAAAGGATTTCTCTAGTTTATTTGTTCTTTTTTTGTCTATTAATTTATAGACCTAGGTCTTTGTCTCATTTGCACGCACATCATTCATCTCTGAATGCCTTTTTTCTTTCAGCATTGTTTCTTGTCATTTACTCTTTTTAAACGTTACCGTTTTTCGTTTAAATTATCAAGGAGTATCCATGTAAAGACAAAATAGCATCAACATTGATAGTAGTAGATTATTTTATGGAGGGATATAATAAAATAATTACATGAATATGCAACAATTTATATTGGTCTCTAGTCAACGAAATTAAATATAATAGATTATATGTGTGAATAATATATTGCAATCTATCTGATTTATTAACTATAATAAGTTATCTGCACATGATTCTTTATAAAGCCTTTCTCTCGTAATAGAAGACTACTGTTTAGAAAATAATCCAGACGGATCAACAGATCATAGTATTTCTGTTATTGATTTGTGTTAACACTGAAAGATTTCAAAGGTTTTAGTAATACTTTACTTGAAAATCAAGAGGTTGTTCAAAGTTACACAAAGATTTCATCAAAATTCATCTCTTTAAACATAAAACACGTTGCTTAAATAAATCGATTCTCAAAGACTATATTCATATTAGAAGATAGCTTCGGAAAGGGTGATCTGAAAAACTCGAATAGAAAGTAATAGTCGTCTATTGTGGAAGGGACTCTAATCGATTTCGATATGATTAAAAATTTATTGTAGCTATGGGTGTGGGTGTGTGAATGGTGTGGAAAGTGTAGGCTATGCAAAAACCCACCCACGCCTACACTCCAAACTTAACACATCAAAATCAATCGATCAAAGTAGATCTAATGTGTAAAATTAATAACATTCTATGAAATTTATTTTATTACCAAATAGACAAAACTTCAAATCATTATTTTGTTCGTTTGTTGACAATTTGATTAGAGTATGAACGTTTTCGATCAAAAGTATGTTCAAACTTATATGTAGGAGAATATGATAGTTCTCGTTTTACAGATCATATGGAGCAATTGTCTATTCAATATGAATCGGATACTAATGAATTGCGTTTAATGACGTTGTTAGATGCAGAATTATTTAGATTTCGTGTAGGAAAATGGGATCATGTACTTAGAGAATCGACATATCTTGAAAGAACTTCATGCAGTATATCTGCTTAACATCGATCAGGCCTTCTGATATGTGTATTCATTATGATGATTCATCTTAATTATCGAGTACAGTTTATCAAATGTCTAAAAAATCTTGTGAATTGTTGCTTGAGATCAATTTCATTCAATGAATATTAAGAAATTTCCAAACATAAATCAATCGTGAACAATAACTTTAGGTTTTTTTTGTGCCATCATTAAGTTTTAACCTAAAAATAAATTCGATGAGAAAATTTGAACTTTCTATCTTCAATTCAATATGAAACAATAGAATAGAAAGTTTCAAAATAGACTTGGTATCAAATATTTCTTAATCGAATTATCAAAAATACAAATTATTAAATAATTAAGCCTACTGTATTTAAATCTGAAATTCATAAATGTCTGTTCTTTTTGTCAAAGTGATGACATAAACATCGACATATGAAACTATATAAGATCGTCAATAAATCGATGACGAGAGGTATTGCTTATAGAAAGATCACAATTATGAAAGCGTACCACAAAATGAATCAATAAATAAGTACAAAAAAGAAACAAATACTTTAGCTTCAATGTTAGAATATTAAGTTCATAGGCTTAATATTTCTAAATAGATCTAAAAGAAATAAAATAGAATCAATTGAATAATACTGTTCGATTAACTTGAATATAGTTATTGATATAAGTATAGAATTAAATTTTTCCATAAAATTACTCTTGTAAAATATTGATAATGCTTTAGGATTTTCTAAATTATTAAAAATAGGAAGTGACTGTGTACACTCAAGTAGGTATTATCAAATAATTACTAAATATTGAGTTATATTATAGCTATATATGTACTTCATAATTAATATAAGTAAAATTTATTAGTTCATTAATAATTTTACTCTATTTGTCCTTTATTAGATTCAAATAGAGTACAAAACAAGTATTAGAATCAAACAAATATAAAAGAAAAAAGTTAATTCAAATAAAAATTGACTGATATCGAAATATTTCTAGTGCTTCATCTCTCTTAGATTTTGAAGAAAATGGTTGCATTTTATTATGTTCAAAATAACTAACATTAATCACATAAAAATATCTTTTTATAAAACAATCATGATGACAATTTCTTTTACATCGGTTTCTGATTTTATTTCAAATTTGAACAACTCTTTTTTTCTTATCTTGAAAGAATCTAAGTTTATACTCTTGAATAATTCTTCTTCTTTAGTGAAGATTAATCAATAGATCTTAATAAAAGGATATCGTTCCAGATTGAAAGCTAATTAGACGGGTGTGAGTGTGAGTGTGGGTGTTAATCGTTCACTTCTTCCAACCACACCCTTGTCAATGGAAAATATACGAGTTGCTGACAATTGATATTTGCTGTTAAGTTTTTATTTTTTGAATATACATTTTCAATATTCTTCATGAGACAACATCCAGTTTTTTTTTAATGATGATGAGTATTTTTTTGACAAGTCGTGTTTATTACAAACATGAACTAATAATTTAAGCAATAATAATGTTTGTTTGTATCAAAAGAAAAAAAATACTACAGCTCATGTAACTTTTGGGAAGAAAGTGAAGCCAACGGCTATCGAAAGAATGATATTTTGATTATGCTTCATTTTCCGTCTGTTTCATTTCGCTTTTTAAATAAGAAACTAGCATCTGTATTTTTAAAGTTTTTGCATGAAAAATGCATAAAACTCCTGTATGAATTTGGTTGCAGAATTTCTTTGTAGGAATTCTATCCTTTTTATGGTACACATCCATGAAATTGGTTAAAATCATTCGAAGATGTGAAAAAAGTTTTACAAAACTTTTCACCACATTTACAAAGTTTTTGCTTTAGAATAAAAGGATTTGACAGTTGTAAAAAGTTATTAACATTCTTGAGACTCTTATACTTTATCTAATGCTTCTGAGTATTCTAGAGACTCTAAACTTGTTTGATGAGAATATATCTAAGAATAGAAGTTGAATATTATTGGTTTATTGGTAAGATAATGAGAAAAATGTCGAAGCACTTTCGCTACAATTGAATATTCATGAAGCTCGCGGCAATGTGCCTGAGTGGGAATGATACAATAAGAAAAATCTTGCACTAAGGTGATTTTTTCTCGCATACACAAGTGTACGAATATGCAGCATCATTGACAACTAAGTTCAAAACTGTAGGAAGTGGCTTGTCACATTTAGAATCGCCAGCCGGATTCACCGTGTTAGATGCAACAGATGAGGAGAAGAGTGTTGAAGTATCATCAGTAGCAGTGATAGTAGTAGTAGTAATAGATGTAGTTACCATGGTAGAAGTGTTGGTAGTAGCTTTTGAATAACACTTGCCAGCTGTTGATTTCTTAAATGGTATACCTTGGACTTCGGTAATTGTAATAGCCTCTCCTGGATTTGGATACTTGAGAGCCGCTCGAGAAGTGCTACGACATTCTCCAGGTTCAATATGTTCTGCAATAGTCATGTCTTCGATGAACATGTCCGGAAAGTTGTCAAGCGTGCTAGTTCCAGTGTCTTCAATCATGACCGAGGCGCAATCTAAAAATTAGTTAGCCGACATGAAAAATATGAATAGTAGACTGTTTTTTCTCAGACACTTTGAAACATCTCATTGCGATTACCGGTTACGGCTATCCATGTCCTATATAAATACAAATTTATTTAGTTATTGTGGTACAAATACAACAGTAGAAAATGTGCAGACAGATTACCAAGAAAATAAAGCTTTTCCAGCTTTTGTATTCTCAGGTACATAAAATGGAAAAGTTTGGTTGTTGCCTGCCATGTTAGAATTTAATCTGACAACCCTTGGGCATCCACCCTGATAACTATGCAGAACTTTCCATGTTTCACCTCCATCAAACGAGAGCGAGGCCTGACAGCTTCACCGCTATGAGCTGCCAGGGATCCTTCGCCACTTGGCGCGTTGTGACCGAGTATCTTAAAGTAAATGGTTCATTAAAAATATTCTCTTCGTATAAGAAAAGTAAGCATCGATCATATCACCGTAAGAGCTTACTCAAAATATGTTTGTTGACCCGCTTTTCATGTTGTCATAGGAGCCTGGTTCACGCTAGGATTCTTATGCAGATCCTTGCATGGAAAATCTCTTCCATCAGCTTTTAGAGGTTCATTGTAATAGTTTCCACCTGCTCCATCAGTAGGAGCTGCCAATGGTCTTGAATATTTTATTCTAGCATGTGCTGTGACCACCGAGATGAATGAAAGTGATGAAAAGATCGTTGTACAAAGCATCAAATTCATAGGGAATATATATGGAAAAATTGATCGTAGAATTTGTAAGGATACAGATACTATTAGCTGTTGAAAAATGGAATCTTCTATTTGTTAAATGGAAGAATATAGTTAAATGAATAACATTGACGAAAACCACATGTGCGACAAGATTTATACTCGAAATTACTATTGACTTTGTGATTATTGACTGTTTGCCTCTTCAATGTTCTTCATGACATTGATTTATCTGTTAAATGCTCGCACGAATGAAATGCAATACGTTGTTATTCTAAACAGAGCAAAGTATCCATCCAGATTTGCTAAATGAAAAATAAATCAATGAAAACAGATCATTTTTCTCAAGAACATATGTAGTTATATTCGACGCTCGATTAATAATAGAATATAAAGAATGGGATTTATAAAATATTTAGCATCTGTTGAGAGTGTAGTTCTGGGCGAGTAAGGATATGTTGTTGTGTGTTAACGTATGAGTATGCATGAAGGTTTTCACTTCAGCTATACCTTATCCCCACACTCAGGAAAAAGTAAAATGGTTAAAATATCGTTTGCACAATTACATTCACTCATTCTGCTAGAAAAATGGTAATAAACGGCAAGAAAAAGACAACTATTACTTGTCTTGGCGTTTCACCGCTTTACTCAACGTTTGTACTCATACTTGTTTTTCACTGAAAAAGCAATAAGTACTTGTTTTAATTTTAATTCTTTTCTTGTGGAAACTATGTTTCTATTCATTGTTTGAAATCTTATGAATCTGTGTTTTTTATTGTACTAGAGTACACGTAAAAGAAAATCAAAATGTTTGGAGCTTTTCTTTATCTTTTTTATCAGATAAACTGTTTTCAAAAAAGAAACCATCGTATTAATTTTAATTCTTATGGAAAAAATATGTTCCTTTGATCAAAACAACGTATGATGGGTTCCGTGATTTTAGTTGTAAATCATTACATTTAAATACTAAATTTTTTATTATTTTTCAAGATCGATTCCTATAATAGACTAAGTGTTTTAACATTTTCAAACATAATACTGCTGCATCTGAGTTTAACTCAATTCGTTCATTTGACGAGGTTTGTTCATTAGCTTCATACGTCTATGCAATCAACAAAGTTTCAATTATCCCATCAAACAT